TCAAGTTTGCTGGTCTGATAGAGCCTGGTGAGGCCCCTGAGACTATGGCCCCTGGCTACCCTTCAGGTATGGAATTGAACTCAGTCCTGTGGCTTCCAGCCAAACAATAAACAGGCATATGGGGGCAACATTTACATCAGGTATATACAGTACTTGGAGAGATCAATCAAGGGAGAACAGAAGGGCAGTGTTTGTATATATAGGGAGACAGCTCAGGGGATGGGAGTGCATGCGATAGAATGGCACATGGAAGAGGTAACTACAGGGAAGAAGTGGGAAGAGAGGTGTTACACTGTGGGGAATTGCAGTCAATGTCATGAGACAAAATGTTTATGAACTACTGTACAGAAAATGAATTTGCTTTGTAAACGTTCACCCAAATCACAATAAATACTAATTTTAAAAAAAAGGAATAATTGCTGTAAAAAATGTTTCATTTCTGATATTAATCTCAGGCATCCAAGAGAAATTCTTCAAATCATGTACATTTCTCCATTTGAAAAATCAGAGCTAGAGCAGGGAAGGATGAAAAAAGATCGTTGTTGTTGTTGTTATGTGCCGTCGAGTCAAACCTGACTCATAGCGACCCCTCCTTGGGTTTCTGAGGCAGTATCACTATGGAAGTAGGATTGCCCAACCTTCCTTCCGAGAAGTGGCTGGTGGGTTTGAACCGACAACCGTCTGGTTAGCAGGCAAGTGCCTTAGCCACTATGCTACCAGAGCTCCCGAAAAAAGAGTAGCAGCTAGAAAATAACTATGATTTCCTACCTACCCAAGGGTGACTCCTGTACAATTCTTGTCACCTGATCTTCCCTTTTCATTGTATGTCAAAGCTGCCCTTCTGCTTCTGAAGACAACCATACAGAGACACTCAACTCTTATCCTGATCCTTCAAACAAGGCTGGGAATTTACAAAGGTTTCACTATGAAGAGATTCAAAACACAGCCTTAAACACTAAGAGGTACGAAAGAAAAAGGGCAATCACCCAAAACCAGAAGATTAATTCTGTTAAGGTGTAAGTTAGAAAAGAACTTAACTTAAAACCACTTAACTAATTTTTAATTAATTTGCCATGTACTATTTCTCACACTTGTCTTGTCCTGAAGAAAGTAGAGCATTCTAAATCTTAAGAACACTAACTAACTGATAAAAAGCTGAAATTTCCTTCTTTCAACCCACCCAAGAACCAACCAACCCACAAGGTTTGTTGTTGTTAAATGCTATCGAGTCGTTTCCGACTCAAAGCGACCCCAAGTAAGAGGTTGTATTTTGTTTCCTAAACCTTTTAGGAACAAAATACAATCTCTTACTTATCCACTCCTCTTACAGTCTCCCTCCTCCCTCAGCACTTCTTTTCCTTTTAATTAAAAACAAGTGGTACCATTGTATCTATGTATCTATGTATCTTTTACCTATGTAAAAGAACTGCCAATAATATTTAAACTGAATTTAACCATAAAGAAAAAATGAGACAAAACCACATAATGGGACATTCTATAAAATAACTAGCCTGGGGATTTGAAACATTACAACATAATGATCAACAAGGAAAAGATTAAGTAACTGTTCTGGATCCAAGGAGTCTAACAAGTAACAACAAATAAATGTAATCAGTACTTTTTTTTTTTCAAATTAGAAAACACACACACACACACACACACACACACACAAAACTCATTGCCACTGAGTCGGATCCGATTCATAGTGAACCCCCCTTGGGTTTCCAAGGCAATATCACTATGGAAGTAGATTGCCCAACCTTCCTTCAGAGGAATGGCTAATGGATTTGAACTGCCAGCCTTCTGGGTAGCAGTCAAGTGCCTTAGGAAAATAAGTAGCTATAAAGGATATTTTAGGAATAATTGGAGAAATGTGAGTATCAGCTATATAAAAGACAATGTTACTAAACCAGTATTAACTCCCATGTGTGATAACTATATTGTGATTACATTAAAAAAATCCTTTCACTTAGGAGACACATATTACTTAGGTGTGAACTATTATATGATCTCCACCACAAATTCTCGAATCCTTCAACAAAAAGTGGTGTGTGTCTGAATACAGAGAGAAAGGGAGATATAAAGGAAATGTGTAAAGTGTTAACAATTGGTCAAACTAGGTAAAGGATGTACAGAAGGATTCGTATTACGAGAATTGTCAGGTTTCTAAAGGTCTGAAATTTTCAAATAAAAAATTAAGAAAGGAAAAAAAATGTTACTCACTATTTGTTTGACTTTAACTGCCTGTGGAATACCAGGTGGTTGTGAAAGGATGGAGCTTGGCTGTGCAAGTTTGATTTGGACTGGAGCATCAATGGCAGACTTGTCACATGTGGTCCCAGAAAAAGTGACAACAGGTTTCACAGAAGGAAGACAAATAGTTGCAGCTGAAGTTTCTCCAAAAGTTACCGACGGAAGGGCCAATGATACTGCTGCTCCAGAAACAACTGGTTTTTCAGGTTGAAGTGAGACTGTTGTAACTGTATTTGGTACAGAAGTCACAAGTGGTTTTGAAGTCTGAAGCAAAACAGTTCCAGCTGTTGTGCCTCCTGTTACAGCAACTGGACCCACAGAATGAAGTGTCACAACTCCAGTATTTGCTCCACCTGGACCAGCAAGTGGATTCTGAGTGTGTACTGACACAGTTCTAGGAGCTGTTGCACCAGAAACGATAAGAGTCTTTTCAGACTGGACTGAGGAAGCTGCTGTTGTCACCACAGGAGAAGTTGTTACTGTCGTGGTACAGGTAGCAATGACTACCTCACTAGAAGTCTGCTGAACACATTGCTGAATAAAGCTCTGAGAGTTAGGCATAAGTTGTCGTAAGGCAATCACACTTTTCTAGAAACACAGGAGGAGGGGGAAAAAGAAAACAAACACTGATAACTAAATAAGTCGGCTCCTAGTAAAACAAAACTTTGTACTTCATTTCTTTAAAACATAAGTAAATCAAAAGTGTATCAAGTGTTTCTGTTGAGGAAACCTGATATTATTACTTATTTATATCCTGTCAATAACAAACATACAATTGAATTAAAGCTCAAAAGTCCATTAGCCCAGAAGTGTTTTATTTTGTTAATATAAATTCATGTTTCATATTAAATTTATATACTTCAGTATCAATTTGGTAAAATAAAACATTGCATTGTTTGTTTGTTTGGTCTAAATCCCTAAATAGATCATTAACTTTAATATCTGTAACTTTATTTGCACCACAAGTCTTTTTGTTAAATAACTGTGGGGAAGTCAATTACTTAGCATAGCTCTCTAGCCATGGTCTTTGTGACTCTCATCTGATGACTGGATGGAACTACGCAAACGTAAGGTGTTTGTGCCCACCAAAAGACAGCATAGCTTTTTAGTAATGAAAATAAGGTACACAGAACCCTTGTGGGGTGGGACCATTGAAAGGTGTATGGAACTCTAATGTGAGAACTGGTTATACAAGGAGCCCTCCTAGAGGTAGAAAAAGGGGTTCTGATGGTATAGCAGACAAGGCGTTTGGCTGCTAACCAGAAGGTCAGTAGCTTCAAACCTAACAGCCACTCCATGGAAAGATGGGGCAATCTACTTCCATAAAGATTTACAGCCTCAGAAACCCAATGGGGGTTGCTAGGAGTCAGAAATGACTATATGGCAGTGAGTTGTTGGTTTTTATTTTCTCTCTGTTTAGAGGCAAAAAGGGGATCTCACTGCCATCAAGAGTGAAGAGCTTGAGGTGGAGTACAGTGTGTCCTTGGACCTTAGATCCCTGAGCTGGACCTCCGTGGCAGAGAGAATAAGCAGAGAGAAACCACAGAGAAGATGGCAGAGAGACAGCAGCGGCAGAGGCAGCAGAACTGAAACATGAGCATAAGGCAGAGTGGCAGGCTTGTCAGCCCACAGAGTGAGAGAGCTGAGTGCCTTTCGGCAGGTGACTTGCTGGCAGAGTGGGGTACGCTTACATGCATCTATCAGAGAGCTAAAAGAGCTTTGTAATACTTGCCCAAGCAGGGTACAGGCAAGGCTGAAAGGACTTCAAGGGCCAAAGAGAGGTGTGCCTGAGGGTATAGCCAAAAACAGACTTGAATCCTTAGCTTTCCTAAATCTTAATTGTAACCTATTACTTCCCTATTAAATGCCATACTCATGAGTACTGTCAGTGAGTTCTGTACGGCCACTGCAATTATCAAACCCAGTAGAGAAGTAGTGAGTGCTGAGGGAAGGACAGTTGGTTTCAGAATTGGTAAAAAGGCTGACTTCCACTTCACAGTCATCAGCCTCGGACTGCTGATGGTGATTCTATCTCCCTCTCATGAAGTTAGAGGAGGTCAAAGGAGAACACCATCCCTATGTCCTTTTGCAATAACTTTCAAACTTTGGATAACCAAAACCAACCAAACTCATTGCCACTCAGTCAGATCCAACTCACAGCAATCCCTCCTTGCATTTCTGAGGCAGTATCACTACAGAAGTAGACTGCCCAATCTTCCTTCCGAGGAGTGGCTGGTGGGTTTGAATCACCAGCCTTCTAGTGAACAGTCAAATGCCTCGGGCACTACACTACCAGAGCTCCCAAACTTTGGATAGAAAGTCTTAATATATACCTAATACAAACAAAACCCACCAAACCCAAACCCACTGCCATCCTGTCAATTCTGATTAATAGCAATCCTACAGGACAGAGTAGAACTGCCTCATAGGATTTCCAAGGCTATAACCCTTACAGAACCAGACTGCCTCACTTCCTCCCGCACAGTGGCTGATGGATTTGAACTGCCGACCTTCTGGTTAGCAGCCAAATGCTTTAACCACTGTACCACCACAGTGAATTTTAAGATGAAAAACAGTGTCTTTAATAGAGCTGGAATATTTTCTGCCTGGATTTTCTTTTTTTTAATTGTGCTTTGGGTGCAAATTTATAAAACAAACTTGTTTTACATTCAACAGTTCATACACACCTGATTTCACACCCCTGATTACTGTCCCCAACCATAAAAAACTCTCATCTCCTCTTTTCCCTGTGATTACCCCCTCCTTGTGCCCTTCTTATTTATGCAGTCCTGTCTGTCCAGCTTTTCCTCTATGGGAGTGCTACCCCCTAGTGTCTCATGGGTGACTGATCCAAGGGTCCCACTAGAGTAGGTGGGTGCATCAACCTGGGGTAGGTGTTCTGTATGTAGGTCTTTCCACTGCTGGGCTGAGAGACAATCCATGTAAGTGAGTCCATTTCTAGACCCAAAGGGTAACTAACCCAGGGCCATATTTCTGACTGGATTTTAAATTTGCATTTATGCTTCTATCCTGCTGAGGAAGTAAAGACAGTTCAAACTAAAAACTAATAGATTTTGCCTTTTCACAAATGGCAACCAAAAAACAGCAGGAGTGGCAATATTAATTTCTGACCAAACTGACTTTAAGACAAAAACCACCATACGAGACAAGGAAGGACATTATATAATGATTAAAGGATTAATTGAACAAGAAGATATGACCATAATAATTATCTATGGACCCAATGAAAGAGTCCCAAAATATATAAATCAAACTTTAAAAGAGTTGAAAAGTCAAATAGATGTCATAGTGGGAGACTTTAATATACAACTTTCAATGAAAGATAGACAACTGGAAAGAAACTCAACAAAGATGCAAAAGAGCTAAACAATACAATCCAGCAGCTTGACCTTACAGACATCTACAGAGCACTTCACCTAACAGCAGCACAATATACATACTTTTACAGTATAAATGGAACGTTTTCCATGATAGATAATACCTTAGGACAGAAAGCAAAGCTTGATAAATTTAAAAACATTGAAATACTGCAAAGCATCTCTTCAGATCACAATGATATCAAATTAGAAATCAATAATAGGATCAATGGAAAAAGAGCAAACACGTGCAAAACTGAACAACACCTTCCTTAAACAAGACTGGGTAACGGAAGAAATGAAAAATGAAATTCAAAAATTCCTTTGAATCAAATGAGAATGGAAACACCAAAATCTTTGAGAAACAGCAAAAGCAGTGATGAGAGGTCAATTTATAGCAATAACAGCATACATCAAAAAGGAAGAAAGAACCAAAATCAACCTTTGAACCAACATCTCCAACAATTAGAAAAAGAACAAGAAAGGCCTAGTCACCAGAGGAAAGGAAATAAAGATCTAAGCAGAAATCAACAAAGCAGAAAATAGACAACAGAAAACATCAACAAGACCAGAAGTTGGTTTTTTGAAAAGATTAATAAAACTGACAAAACACTGGCAAATTTAACAAAGGAAAAGAGGGTGAGAATACAAATAACACGAATAAGAAACGAAATGAGTGACACCACACAGAACCAACTGAAATAAAAAGGGTAATATCAGGATAATATGAAGAACTGTACTCCAACAAATTTGAAAATCTAGAAGAAATGGACAGACTTCTAGAAACACATCACTTACCTAAACTAACACAAACTGATGTGAAAAAGTTGAACAGATCCATAATAAAAGAAGAAATTGAACAAGTCAGCAGAAAATTACCACCAAAAAAAGTCCTGGCCCAGACGTTTCACTGGAGAATTCTACCAAACATTCGGAGAAGAAATGACACCAATCCTACTCAAACTACTCCAAAACACAGAAAAGGATGGAATCCTCCCAAATTCATTTTATGAAGCAAGCATAACCTTGATACCATAACTAGGCAGAGACATCACTAAAAAGGAAAACTAAAAACCAATGTCCCTAATGAATATAGATGCAAAAATCTTCAACAAAATCCTACCCAACAGACTCCAACAACATATAAAGAAAATAATTCATTATGACCACGTGGGGTTCATATCAGGTATGCAGGGATGGTTCAACATTAGAAAAACAATCAACGTCATCCACCACATTAATAAAACAAAGAACAACAACCACATGATCATATCAATTGATTCAGAAAAAGCATTTGATAAAATCCAACACCCATTCCTAAGCAAAACTCTCAGCAAAACAGAAACAGAAGGGACATTCCTCAACATAATAAAGGGCACCTATGCAAAGCCAACAACCAACATTATACTCAATGGAGACACTGAAAACATTCCCCTTGAGAACAGGAACTAGGCAAGGATGCCTGCTATCACCACTTCTATTCAACATTGTACTGGAATTCCTAGCCAGGGCCATAAGGCAAGAAAAGGAAATCAAAGGCATCCAAATTGGTAAGGAAGAAGTCAAACTATCCCTATTTGCTGATGATATGATCCTATACCTAGAAAACCCAAGAGACTCAGTCAACAATCTACTGGAACTAATTGAGAGATTTAGCATAGTGGCAGGATACAAGATCAACATCCAAAAATCAGTTGGATTCCTCTACACCAGCAAAGAGATTGCTGAAAAAGAAATAAGGAAATCACTACCATTTAAAACAGCTACCAAAAAATTAAATACTTGGGAATAAATCTTACCAGGGACACAAAAGACCTCTACAAAGAAAATATAAAAAACTACTTCAAGAAACCATAAGAGATCTACATAAATGGAAGAACACACCATGCTCATGATAGGAAGATTGAACATTGTGAAAATATCAATTCTACACAAAGCATTCTATACATTCAATGCAATCCCAATCTAGATCCTATCAATATTCTTTAAGGATATGGAAAAGCCAATCACTAACTTTCTACCAAAAGAAATGAGACCTCCCATGAGCAAACCACTACTGAAGAACAGCAACAAAGTAGGAGGTCTCACACAGCCAGATCTCAAAACCTACTATACAGCCCCAGAAGTCAAAACTGCCTGATATTGGTACAATTACAGACACATAAACTAAAGGAATAGAATTGAGAACCCAGAAGTAAATCCATCGACCTATGGTCAGCTGACCTTTGACAAAGGGCCGAAATCCACTAAATGCGGAAGAGAATGTTTGTTTAATAAATGGTGCTGGCAAAACTGGATATCCGTTTGCAGAAAAATGAAGTAACATCTACACCTCACACCACACACAAAAACTAACTTCAGACAGATCAAAGACTTAAGTGTGAAACCTAAAACTATAAAGTTCCTTAAGGAAAAACTAGGGGTAAATTTGTTGTTGTTGTTATGTGCCGTCGAGTCAAACCCGACTCATAGCGACCCCTCC